GGGGCGGAATCTCTGTCTGCGCTTTCGGGGAACGTGGCGAGGCCTCTGAACTGGATCAAGAGAGAGAACGCTGCCTGGCCTTCCGAAGCCCCAGCTATGCGTAAGGTCCTCGGTCCTCAGGAATCCAAGGACAGAGAGATCTCCAGGGGGTGGAGTTCCTACCCCTTTAAGGCTTTCTTTTTTTTTTTTAAATCCTCCCCGGAGGATATTTTCCAATTCATTTTTAGGGAGAGTGGAAGAGAGCGGGAGAGACAGAGACATTGATGTGAGAGAGAGACATCAATGGGTTGCCTCCCGCACGTGCCCCGACCACAGCCCGGGCCGGGGAGGAGCCTGCAACCGAGGTCCAGCCCTTGACCGGAATCGAACCCAGGACCCTTTGGTCTGCAGGCCGACGCTCTATCCACTGAGCCACACCGGCCATGCTGTCGAAGGCCTTCTGGGTGTCACCTCGAGCAATCCACAGACGGAGGGGCGGGCAGAGGCAATATGGAGAACGGCCAATCAATAGAGGCAATGGGAAAGCCTGGTCACGGGCAGGGGGAGGTTCCTGGAGAGCCAGCCAAAGGCAGAGGGAGGGCCACAGAGATCACGTGACCCAGCGCACTGTGTGAGGGCACAGAGATCACGTGACCCAGCGCACTGCGAGAGGGCACAGAGATCACGTGACCCAGCACACTGTGTGCGGGCACAGAGATCACGTGACCCAGCGCACGGTATGCGGCACAGACTCCGGCCTGGGGGTTCCCAGGACAGTGCCCTCCTCAGACAAGAGGCTGCCTTCTGGCTGGTCTGGATCCACACTGTGAAGGGCCTAGAGAGCCCGGGAGATCCCAGCAGCCCGAGTGGGAATCCAACCACGTGGGAGGCGCAGGACCAAGCACAGACGAAGCCCAAAAGACGAGTGGAAGAACGATTGCGCCACGAAATTAAACAAACAAACGCTTATCCTTTCAGAGCAAACAGTACGTCGCTACGTGTACAAAGCCATGCCTCTTATTTATTTTCTTTTAAGCGGCTTTGGATCCTGAGAAAGGAAGGGTTATCCCACATGGATCGATACGCCCACCTCCCTCTCCTACGCCCCCCACCTTCCAATGTCAAGTGAAATGTCCGAAGAAAGGTGACAATTAGGGTAAGACTATGTCAACAGAGGAAAAGGCTCACCAAATGCCCAAAGCTCTGGGAAATGGACTAGAGTAGCGGTCCCCAGGCACGCTGGGATTCACGTGTGCCACCAAGAGAGCAGCTGGTCTCCCCAGAAGTTAATAGAAGAGAGGCTGGCCCGGCCGTTGTAGCTCAGTGGTCCCGGGTTTGATTCCCGGTCAGGGCACGTGCCCGGATTGCAGGCTTGATCCCCAGTAGGGGGCATGCAGGAGGCAGCCGATCCATGATTCTCTCTCTCATCATTGATGTGTTTCTCTCTCTCTCTCTCTCTCTCTCTCTCTCCCACCCTTCCTCTCTGAAATCAATAAAAATATATTATTTTTAAAAAATATATTTTATTGATTTTTTACAGAGAGTAAGGAGAGGGACAGAGAGCCAGAAACATCGATGAGAGAGAAACATCGATCAGCTGACTCCTGCACACCCCCCACTGGGGATGTGCCCGCAACCAAGGTACATGCCCCTGACCGGAATCGAACCTGGGACCCTTGAGTCCGCAGGCCGACGCTCTATCCACTGAGCCAAACCGGTTACGGCTATATTATATTTTTTAAAAATCTGCCAGTAAAACCCTTCAAAGGCTTCTGACTCCTCAGTTCCCCACCTGACAAGGAGACACACACACGCTCACTGAAACCACACCGACTTCCCGTCAGCCCAGCGACCTCCCCTGGCAGAACTGAAACCAGTTCAGAAAAAGGCTGGGCGGCACTCACAGCTTCCCTCACGCTGTAAAAAGGGGAATATCAGATTTCCTCTTAAAGCGCGCCCCTGAAATTGTAAAGATTTCACCATATGGAAGAGATCTGGACGCGAGGAAGAAAGGGCTGCAGACTTGGAACCCTAATTCAATTTCCCCTCGCGTGTGAACCGGGCCTGCGGCAAACATTTACTTTCTCGGGAGGAGACTGAACAAGGGGCCATTGTGTGCCGGGCATGGAGGTCTGGCCAGGCTCATCTACACCAACTTTTCCAAACATCAGGTTGGAATTACAGAATTCTAAACTCTCAATGAACTATTCGCAGGCCGCAGAAATCCGCCCCACGCCGACGGGTCAGCGTCAATCCTCCAAGCGAGTAACAGCCTTGTTCAAAAGTGACGTCTGCGTGTTCCAAGCGCCAACGAGACCTGCCGCGGAATGCCACGCGATGCGCTCACTTCCGCCTCCAGCAGCATGTCATCTGCATCTGATAACCCCGACTCTGTCTGATGGGAAGCATATGGCACCAGTCACATCGCTTTCCCCTATTTTCCTAAGAAAAAGGAGTGACAACGTTCTCCCTGCGCGAATAAGGCTAAAAAAATGAAATAACATTTCCAGGCTGGCCCTGAGGCTACAAACATGGCTCCGTGTTGTAATGTGTAATCTGTGCCCTATCATGGGCCCGTTAACGTGTCAGAGAAAACGAGAGGTCATCGCGGATTAGTGGTGTGGCCCTTTAAAACACGTCCACAAATTCTCTGACGCGGGTCCCAGTAAGAGGTGGAGTAAGTTCCCGCCTTTGGATCCGGGCCAGTCAGCGACTCACTTCTGTCTGAGGAAGGGACGGGGCAGGAGTGGGGCCGAGGGTCAGGAGGCGCCATCATGACACCTCCTTCCTCTCCTACTGGGACGCTCACCAGCCAGCACCTGGTGAGGAGGCCAAGCAGCCACATGGAAAAGCCACATGGGCCCGGCCGGCGGGGCCCAGTGGCTGGGTGTCGACCTATGAACCAGGAGGTCAGGGTTCGACTCCTGCTCAGGGCACGTCCCCAGGTGGCGAACTCCATCCCCAGTGGGGGGCGTGCGGGAGGCAGCCGATCAGTGATTCTCTCTCATCATGGATGTTTCCATCTGTCTCTCCCGCTCCCTTCCTCTCTGAGATCAATAAAATATATATAAACATATATTCATTACAAACAAGTCACAGCCACAGGTCCAGCCCCAGTCCCACTCCCATCCGATGGCCCCCCAGACAACCAGTGTCACCCCGACACGGGGGTGAAGAGCCTTCGAGTAACTGGCGTGCCCAGGCTCTCAGCACCTCCAGTGACGCCACGTGGAACAGAGGAGGAGCTGTCCAACCAAACCACGTGGCCTGCAGGTCCTGAGGAAATAAACGCTGTCTCAGTGAAGCCACTGGGCTTCGGGGGTCCTCAGGCAGCAGCAGATAAAGGGACCATGCAGACTATTTCAACCACATCAGCCACCCAGCTTACGCTTTTCATCCAAAAGACAAACCTGTCTTAGGTTAAAAAAACAACAACACACAGCCCTGGCCAGCTTGGCTCAGTGGACAGAGCGTCGGCCTGCGGACTGAAGGGTCCCGGGTTCGATTCCGGTCAAGGGCACGGACTTTGGTGGCAGGCTCCTCCCTGGCCCAGGCCCTGGTCAGGGTACATGCAGGAGGCAACCCATCGATGGGTCTCTCTCACATCGATGTTTCTCTCTGTCTCCCTCTCTCCTCCACTCTCTCTAAAAATCAATGGGAAAACAGCCTCAGGTGATGGAGGATCAACAGAAAAACCACACACGAGAAGCCGTGCTGACAAACCTGGTCTCGGTCACCGCAGCCGAGCGCCCTGCGGGCTGGAGTCCCACGTCCCTTACCCCCACTGCGGCCGCCTCTCTCTCGGGCGATCGCCTTCCGCGCACTAACAAGCCGGAACCCTGGCCTTCTCCCCGTCCCCCCCGCCCCGTCTTAAACTCACTCCCGGCTGTGACTCGATGCTCTTAGGAAACACGGGGCGGAGGAGACCGCTGCTCCTGCTCCGAGTGCCCGGCTATTTACGACGACGCAGTGAAACGGGCCTGAAAAGGCGCTTCTGGCTGTGAGGTGGGTAAGGAGCTCCAGATATGCTGACGGAGCCACTCCGACCGGTCACCCGCCAAACCGAGGAGCCAAATTAAAAACGTCCTGGTCGTCCGGACGAACACCAGGAAGGGAACTCCCCAATGACGGCAGCAGATCCGTCTCCAAGACACTCGGCCCGAACAGTTCCCCGGAACTCAGAACGAGAAGGCCGTGAGCAGGAACTCTGCTGCTCGCAGACGGAAGAGCCCCAGCTCGGAGCGTTCGCAGACGACGTGAGCAGCACTTACTTTTTTTTTTTTTGAAAGAACTACCACAGCCCTGGCCGGTGTGGCTCAGTGGATAGAGCGTCGGCCTGTGGACTCAAGGGTCCCGGGTTCGATTCCGGTCAAGGACATGTACCTCGGTGGCAGGCTCCTCCCTGGGCCCTGGTCGGGGCTCGTGCAGGAGGCAACCCATCGATGTGTCTCTCTCACATCGACGTTTCTCTCTGTCTCTCTCTCTCTTCCGCTCTCTCTAAAAATCAATGGGAAAATATCCTCGGGGGAGGATTAACAACAACAAAAAGAACGGCCATAAGTCACACCAAGGTACTGACCGACACGCTAATGACTCGGATGCACTACGCAGAGTCTAAGACAGCAGGAAGAAGAGCCGATCTCTCCTTCAAAGACTCGGCCGAGTGAGTGGGTGTCAGGGGGCCGCTCGGGAGACGCGGACGCCCAGCAGCACCTACCGAGCACGTTTCCTGGCGGCACCTCCTCCAGGTCCTGCAGCTCCCTCCCCATCAGGAGGTACAGGTGCTCCAGCGTGCAGCACGCCATGTGGGGGACGGCGGGCAGCTCGTCCAGGGGAGCGGAGAAGCCCGATGGCACCTGGGGGAGGGAGGATGGGCGCCGGTGAGTGAGGGAGCAGGAAATGGAAACATCGGTTCATACGTACAGAGTGATTTTCATTCATAAATGAGACGTGGGGCGGGCACGTTTCATGTAAGTGTGAAGCATGCAAATTTGAAATGTGCCTCGTGGATTTAAAAATAGCCCTGGCTGGTGTGGCTCAGTGGATAGAGCATCAGCCTATGGACCGAAGGGTCCCAGGTTCAATTCCAGTCAAGGGCACATGCCCGGGTTGTGGGCTCGGTCCCCAGGGGACGTACAGGAGGCAGCCTATCAATGATTCTCTCATCATGATGTTTCTCCCTCTCCCTTCCTCTCTGAAATCAATAAAAATATATTTAAAAAAAAAATAGTCAAACCCTGGCCCTAGCTGGAGTGGCTCAGTGGACAGGGCGTCGGCCTTCAGACTGAAGGGTCCCAGGTTTGATGCTAGCCAAGGGCATATGCCCGGGGTTGCGGGCTAGATCCCTAGTAGGGGGTGTGCAGGAGGCAGCCGGGCCATGATTCTCTCTCATCGTTGATGCTTCTCTCCCTCTCCCCCTCTCCCTTCCTCTCTGAAATCAATACAAATATTTAAAAATTAATTAATTAATTAAATTAAATAACCCGAATAGGCACTGATTTAAAGCGACGCCACCCAGAGCCTCAGCAGGGCTTCCCATGGACCCTGACAAGTAGGTTCTGCCTCCCTGATTCCCGCTGACCCAACTGGCTCCCGGGGTGCTGGCACCCTCAGCCTCCCGCACCCGAGCCTGTCCCGCCTCGGCTCCAGCTGGTGGTGGCCTTTGCCTTTGGCTCGGGCACATCTGGAAGCCACTGCTCACCGGCTCGGACCCCCCTGAGCGGCGCCTGGGACTGCCCGCCAGGCGCCTGCTGCTGCCCCCTGCGCGTGCCCACGCCCGTCCGTGTCGCCCAGACTCTGCATCTCCGTTTCCCGAAGATTCGCCCTGGCGCGAGCATGCCCTGTGTCCTCCCCGTTCCTTCTTCTGGCCTCGGAGAGAAAGGCCTCACAACCTTTAAGGCCAGAACACTGGGCTCATATGCCAGTTCCGTTCCCTAAATGCTGCCGAGCGAGACAGGTCTACCGAATGTCACCCAGGCCACGCGAGAGGAGACACAGAATTCACCTCCATGTGCCTTTCTAGACGCGAGAAATCTACCAATAAGGTGACCGCCGGTCTCGCCAACTTAAAAGACGTCAGAACCTTGAAACGAATACTTGAGTTTGGCTTCCGGCCTCACCCGCTGCAGAAACTCCACGGGACTGTACTTGGGCCCCAAGACAAAGATTTTCTTCCCTCTGCGGGCCACGCCGCTGAACACGCGCGCAAACGCCACGAACGTCTCCTGGTTGGTCTCCTGGCTGCTTTCTTCCTGCGGCGCGGGCCTAGGGGTCACACTCCCCACCTGCGGCTCACCCCCTGCCAGGAACAAAGGGGTCGTGAGCGCCAAGCATGCCCTCCCCAGGGCGGGGGACACAGAGGGACAGTGAATACCATGGGTATCTGGCCCAGTTCCAGGACAGAAACAGCAAGAATAAAAGAATAGCCCTAACCGGTTTGGCTTAGTGGATAGAGCGTTGACTTATGAACCAGGAGGTCAGGGTTGATTCCCGGTCAGGGCACAGGCCGGAGTTGTGGGCTCCATCCCCAGTGGGGGGCATGCAGGAGGCAGCTAATCAATGACTCTCTCTCATCATGAATGTCTCTCTCCCCCTCTCCCTTCCTCTCTGAAATCAATCCTATCCTATATAATAAAAGCCTAATATGTAAATTGGCCAAACGGCGGAATGACCCATCGCTATGATGCACACTGATCACCAGGGGGCAGACACTCAATGCAGGGGCTGCCCCCAGCCCACAGGCCAGCCAAGGTGGGTGCCAGCAGGGCCCCCCAATCATCCCACCGGTCGCCCCACAGATCCGCCCTGAGCACCGGCCAGGCCTAGGGACCCTGCCTGTGCACACATTTCGTGCATTCGGCCTCTAGTAAAAATATATTGAAGAAACAAGTATAGACATTTGACGTTAAAAAATATATATATGTGGCACCAAAGCCCACTGGGAAGGCTATACCTTTCGGCTCCTCTCCCTCCGGACTCGTTTCCGGGGTGCTCCCGTCGGCGGTGGGCCCCGCGGGCGCCGGGCCCTGAGCTGCCGCGAGCCTCTCCGCGTGCCTCTGTCTCGCCTGCTCACGCCTCTGCACAATTTCTTCCTGAGTGAGAGGCCTGCGGGATGTCACGCACGTTAGCTCCGGGCGGCACGAGCGGGAAACAGCAGCACTCATGTGCCGGGACCGGTCGACAACGGGCCCCGGGCCCTTCGGGGCAGAAGGCTCCCCGAGTTCCCTCCCCGGCGGCGGCACCGGGAGAGCAGGCCCCTCAGGCTTCCTCGGAGGGCGCGGGCCCCAGGCACCGAGCGCATGAGCTGACCCGCAGGCCCCACGTGCCCACTGAGCTCGCACACTCACGGGGACCATCCTGCCACCGAGCGCGCTTACACCGTCCCCCACCCCCACCCCGTCCTTACCTGGGCCTATTCTGAGGCAAAGCCTTAGCATCGACAGCAAACATTTTGGACACAAAGATGATGACCGGCGCGGTCTCGTCACTCCCGCATTTCATAAAAGCTGAGCGAGCAGAAAGCAAGCCTGTCAGTATTATTTTTTCCCTTTATGAAAGATCCAGGTTTTTCTGGAGAACAATTAAGATGTTTTCACCATGGCATCATCTAAATATGTACGCAGCCTGTAACCTTTTACAACTACCATAAAAAGTCCATTTGGAAAGCTGTAAAACTGCCGGAAAAGAGGAAAAAGAACAAGCAGAATTGGCAGAAACAAGGAAAGAAAAGCAGCATTAACAGGGCAGGAGGAGGGCTGGGGGACTCCGATATGGAACTGAAGCCAGTGAGCGGGCTCACTGCCCGCCACAAGCCCCAATAAATATTCCCTGGACCCAGTGGAGAAGCAAGAGGATCGAGGGATGTGAGCAGAGGCCAGCAGCCAGCTGGGAGCTTGTGGATAAAACACATAAAAATCATATAAGCCTAACCAATGGACACAGACACCGGGGGGTGAGGGCATGAGCGGGGGCAGGGGGCACTGGGGGATAAGGACACATATGTAATACCTTCATCAATAAAAAATAGCCCGGACCGGTGTGGCTCAGTGGATAGAGCATCGGCCTGCGGACTCAAGGGTCCCAGGTTCGATTCCGGTCAAGGGCATGTACCTTGGTTGCGGGCACATCCTCAATGGGGGGTGTGCAGGAGGCAGCTGATTGATGTTTCTCTCTCATTGATGTTTCTAACTCTCTATCCCTCTCCCTTCCTCTCTGTAAAAAAATCAATAAAATATATTTAAAAATAAATAAATAAGTAAATAAAATAAAAATCAATAGCTTTTCCAATCCCCACAATAACAAGTTAGAACATAGGCAAAAATCTAATATAGTAATAGAGGAATATGCAAATTAGCTGGTACTCTGTAACGTCATGACCGATCTACAAGTGGCAGAGCTACAGGAGGGCGGGGCAGCGAGCTACAAGCGCACGGATTCGTGCGCAGGGCTACCTTAATCAATAAAAAATAGAATATTATAATGACAGCAATGAAAAAAACCTTAGACATAAACTAAGGTCCATTATTATAAGGATGTCAGTTTTCCCTGAATCTACAAAACCTTTTATACATTTCAATTTTTAATCCTCATCTGAGGATATGTTTAGAGTAAGGATGGTGGGGAGAGGGGAGGGAGGGACAGAAAGAGAGGAGGGGAGGGAAGGAGAGGGAGAGAGAGAGAGAGGAGAAACATCAGTGCGAGAGAGAAACATCGACCAGTTGCCTCCTGTACGCACCCAACCAGGGCTTGAACCTACAGCCTAGTGCAGCCGTGGGCAAACTATGGCCCGCGGGCCGGATCCGGCCCGTTTGAAATGAATAAAACAAAACAAAAAAAAGACCGTACCCTTTTATGTAATGATGTTTACCTTGAATTTATATTAGTTCACACAAACACTCCATCCATGCTTTTGTTCCGGCCCTCCGGTCCAGTTTAAGAACCCATTGTGGCCCTCGAGTCAGAAAGTTTGCCCACCCCTGGCCTAGTGACTGGGAATAAACCTGCAACCTTTGGTTGTATGGGACGACGCTCCTACGAGGAGCCGCCTGCCAGGGCCCACACCTATAAATTGTTCACAATTCAAAGCACATGTTGACATTTTTCTTAGCCGACACTGGAGGGATAAAATTGGTTAGTGATTTTTTAAAAAAATCGCCCCACATCAAAATATTTTACCCATAAGTTAGCCCACCGGTCAAATTCAAACGAGAAATAACATTCCGGAAGTCAGAATGGAACATGGTCCACAAGTCTTGCCTGGGGAAGCCTTGAAAAGTTCGGATGCCCGATCAGTGTGGCTCAGTGTTTGAGCGTCGACCTAGGAACCAGGAGGTCAGGGTTCGATTCCCGCTCAGGGCACCGGCCCGGGTTGCGGGCTCCATCCCCAGTGTGGGGCCTGCAGGAGGCGGCCGATCCATGATTCCCTTTCATCATGGCTGTTTCTCTCTCTCTCCCTCTCACTCTCTGAAATAAAAAAAAGTGTATTTTTTAAAGATGAGGCTGCATGCACGTTCCTCTGTCCCTCACCTGCCTTCAGCGCCTGGGTTTCCGGTGGAAGCGAGTCGAACGCCTGTGAGCCCGAGCACATCAGCTTCTCCACCCGCTCGGGCGTGATGTCGAGGGGGCTGGGGAGCCTCTGACACACCATGGCTGAGGTCTGTTGTTAAGGACTCCAACACTGATGCGTGCACTCTCCAGGGACCAGATCACAATGTGCACCAAATCCTGAGGCAACAACGTATGAGCCCAGGCCAGCTAGAATGGTGGCCTGCAGACCGAAGGGTCCGGGGTTCGATTCCAGTCAAGGGCACGTACCTTGGTGGCAGGCTCCTCCCTGGCCCGGGCCCTGGTGGGGGCACGTGCAGGAGGCAACCCATCCATGTGTTTTTCTCACATCGATGTTTCTCTCTGTCTCTCTCTCTCTCTTACACTTTCCCTAAAAATCGATGGAAAAATATCCTCGGATGAGGATCACCAAAAATAAAAAGAAAGAGATTAAATTCATCTTTAAAATTACTTCAGTGCCCTGGCTGGTTTGGCTCAGTGGATAGAGTGTTGGCTTGCATACTGAAGGGTCCCGGGTTCAATTCCAGCCAAGGGCACATGCCCGGGTTGTGGGCTTGATCCCCAGTAGGGGGCGTGCAGGAGGCAGTCAATCAATGATTCCCTCATCATAGATGTTTCTATCTCCCTCTTCTTCTCCCTTCCTCTCTGAAATCAATGAAAATATATTAAAAAATAAATGAATATACTTAACACTACTGAACTGTAAATTAAAAAATAAATAAATAAATAAAATTATTTCAGTTAATGTATGCCACTTCATAATTAAGTCTTTTTGGAATTAAAAACATAATGAGGAATATCAACACACTAAAGGAAATATGGTACTAAGTAAAACAGTGACCTAAAACTTCTCAATTATTTACTTATGTAAATTTTAGTAAAAGTTCCTGTTTTTACAGATTAATAAACAAAAATAAAAAGGAATATCTTCTTAGAAGAACATACATTTAGACTGGTATTAGGATAAATACTAACTAGTATTAGTATAAGAATTTTTAAAAATATATATATTTTATTGATTTTTTTACAGAGAGGAAGGGAGAGGGATAGAGAGTTAGAAACATCAATGAGCGAGAAACATCGACCAGCTGCCTCCTGCACACTCCCCACTGGGGATGTGCCCGCAACCAAGGAACATGCCCTTGACCGGAATTGAACCCGGGACCCTTCAGTCCGCAGGCCAATGCTCTATCCACTGAGCCACACCGGCCAGGACAGTATAATAATTGTTAAATAGTTTCATAGAACACTAAGAAATGAACATAGCAAGCTGAGTTGGATCGGAATGCATTATTTCCAGAGGATTTCTTGGTGGCCAGTAACCGCCCCCCCCCCCCGCCCCCATTTTGTCAAAACGATGATCCCATTAAAAACCACGAACAGAAAGGATACCGAGCACAGCCTGGGAGACGGGCAGCCACTGGCTGCAGATGGCGCTGACCTGGACCTTCGGGTCCGAGTGCCGCGCCTCCCGGGCCCCGATCTTCAACCCCAAGGAGGTGACGATTTTATCGATCTTTTCTTTGTCCCTGCAGCAAGCACAGAGCGGGGTGGAAGGTCACACAGCGTGAAGGAGCGGCGAGGACAGGGACCTCACTGTTATCCGACATCGTTTATTCCTCATGCATGACGTTTCTACCAACAACGGAAAAGGACTGCAGGGGCTCCCGCCACAGCTCAGGAGGCCCCGTCTCCACCCGTCCCCTCCTAAAGGAACCTTTCTCTAAAACCAGAGGCCCGGTGCACGAAATCCGTGCAAGGGGCTCGGCCCTCGCAGCCCTGGCTTCGTCCCGAAGGTCGTCTGGCTGTCCGGTCTAATTAGCATATTACGCTTTAATTATTATAGATTTGTCCTGCCGCGCCAGACCACAGCCTCCTTAAGCCAACTATGCCGGCGGGGGAAGCGGGGTCACAAACGCTTGCTCAGAGGGCAGGGACCCATCTCGGGAATAACCGAGACATAAACTCGCCGAGGAAGCTTTCTTTTGCACTTGTCCCAACCATGTGTGTACCCAAGGTTCCCAATATTAATGTCTAGCTAGCAGGCACCTTTCTCCTACGATGACTATTTTATTCCAAACTGGGTTTTTAAAAAATAAACGTCCAGCCCTGGCCGGTTTGTCTCAGTGGATAGAGCATCGGCTGAAGGGTCCCAGGTTCGATTCCCAGTCAGGGCACATGCCTGGGTTGTGGGCTCCATCCCCAGTGTGGGGCATGCAGGGGGCAGCCGATCCATGGTTTTCTCTCATCATGAATGTTTCTATCTCTCTCTCCCTCTCCCGTCCTCTCTGAAATCAATAAAAATGTTAAAAAGAAGTGGAACAACCAACTGACATTTCTCTCTCTCTCTCCCAAATCAATAAAAAATACAGGTCAATGTTTCCCTCCATCCTTTCATCCCTTCCCCGCGGCCTCTACAAAGCATTTCTCTCCTGTCCCTCCTGCTACGCTTGACTTGGGTTGCACAGGCTCCATGAAATCGCCTCCCAGCCCTGTCACCAACTCGTCGTCAGGGCTCTCTCTCCTCACTGCCCCGTCTCTCTCAGCGTCCCCAGCAGGACTCAGCCAACTGGAAACTGAGGCACATTCTACCTGCCCGAAGTCACCAGGTTTGTAAGTCTTACTTTTTCAAGACAGCGTCATACAAACTCCATATATTCTCCAGGATTAACTGCACGAATAACGGCTTCTTTCCTTTCGCCTGTAAAAGAGAATGAACACGCTCAGGTTTCTGTGTATTTAATAGGGATTTTAAACACTCATCCTTTATTTTTGTTTTGTTAATCCGCACCTGAGGATATTGTTCCTTTTTTTTTTAGAGAAAGTGGAAGGGAAGGAGAAAGACAGGGAGATACATGGATGTGAGAGCCACATCAATTCGCTGCCTCCCACGGGCACCTGGACCAGGGCCAGGGATCGAGCCAGCAACCGGGGTACGTGCCCTTGACCGGAACTGAACCTGGGACCCGTCAGGCTATCCACTGAGCCACACCAGCCGGGGCTTAATACTCATTCTTGACATGTTTTATTATCGACACGCCTCATTTCTACTAGAAGATATTCACCCAACCGCAGAGGGGAGGAAGGAGGTACAATAACCCACCGTTCTCTCCCTGCGGGAACAATCGGCTTCACAATGATGAGACCGTTTGGGGGACACGTCACTGCGGCGGCCCCACTGCGCCCATCAAAACACCACTGAGTGCCCAGCGGAGAGTGAACACGTGACTCTGCATGTACAGGCCTCACCATGAACTTCATGCTACAGAACATTATCTTTATTTTTAATATTTTACTGATTTCAGAAAGGAAGGGAGAGGGAGAGAAACATCCATGATGAGAGAGAATCATGGATCGGCTTCCTCCTGAATGCCCGCAACCCAGGCCATGTTCCCTGACCGGGAATTGAACCATGACCCCCTGGTTCATAGGTTGACGTTCAACCATGGAGCCACACCGGCCGGGCTAAAGGATATTCCTAACCTGAAAAAGAATCAACTTCAAGGAAGAGGAAATTAAGAACAAAAAAACTTATCATTTCTTTTATCAAACTATGCATAATAATGCAAGAGCCCCGTGAGACGGGTACTCTCACACGCACAATTAGACGGACTACCAGCCGAGACCGCCTTTCTGAAGAGCTAGTGACAAGTTAGTGAGAAATTAAGTCGTTACCAGTGAGTGCTCGGTTAAGAAAAAGTCATCAAGAAGACAAAAGATTTATGCAAAGATGTCCGCCGGAGTCTTACTTATAAAAAACATTTGGAAATTAGAAACAGATACTACGTCCGATCTGAGGAGAGTGATTATGTAAACCAGTGGTTCTCAACCTTCTGGCCCGTTAAATACAGTTCCTCATGTGGTGACCCAACCATAACATTATTTTTGTGGCTACTTCATCACTGTCATGTTGCTACTGTGATGAACCGTCATGTAAATATCTGATATGCAGGATGGTCTTAGGCGACCCCTGTGAAAGGGTCGTTCGACCGCCAAAGGGGTCGCGACCCACAGGTTGAGAACCGCTGATGTAAACGATGACACGCTCACAGCACACACTGATGACAGGGCACTCGGGACAGGACGGTCTCCAGGCTTTTCTGGATGGTTTCGTATCGTTATCCCACCCGCCCTCTGAGGCCAGCACTGCTGCCTCCATTTCACAGATGGAAACACTGAGGCACAGGGTGCAGCTGGTGAGCGCTGGGGCCGAGATTCAAACCTCCAGTCAGGCTCTCCCGCGCTTCCCCGCTCCCTGCACTGGCCTCTCTTCAATGCGCTGCTGATTCAAGGCCTGTCATGGCCCAGGGAAGATGCTCACACGGTGGGGCTTTGTGCTTCATAATATCGAGCAAGAAAGGAGCTACATTACACAGACTGTATAATCGCGGCTGAGGGACGGAGATCTAGTCAGGAAGAATACAAGAGCCCTGGCCGGTGTGGCTCAGTGGATAGAGCGCCGGCCTGCAGACCCAAGGGTCCCGGGTTCGATTCCGGTCAAGGGCACATACCTTGGTTGCAGGCTCCTGCCCGGCCCAGGCCCCGGTCAGGGCTCATGCAGGAGGCAACCCATCGATGTATCTCTCTCACATCGATATTTCTCTCTGTCTCTCCCTCTCCCTTCCACTCTCCTTAAAAATATCCTCGGGTGAGAATTAAAAACAACAACAATAAAAAAAACAACAAAAAAACAAAAGGGACATCCGCCCATTACCTGATCCACCTTCATGATCTTCTTGGCCTTCATATTTATGTAATAGTCTCCCCACAATGTTTTCAAAAGAACTTCCTTTTTTATGCCAATTTTCTGACTGTAGATTTGGGCAAAGTGCTCAATTCTAAGAGAAAAAAAAAAGTGTTCATGTCATTAGTGACATCAGTCAGGGTGACCATCGCTAACACCTGGGGTCCCCTGCAGGCACCGTTCTGTCCACAGTGCCTCGAATGTGTCCCTCACTGCAATCGTTCCCTCTCCCCTGAGGCAGGCACTAACCACCACCCTTCACAGAAGGGGGTAAAGGAGCAGAGACGTGACACAGGAGCACGTGAAGCTGGGAAGCAGCCCACGCGGTCTGGCTCCAGAGCCCACGTCTTGTCCCCGTCTCTCTACCTCCCCATGAAGCAGAATTCATGCCATGGTCCCTTTTATTGTGTTTAATCCTCATCCGAGGACATGTTCTTACGGATTCTATTGAAAGAGACTAAGGAGGGAGGGAGAGAGCGAGGGAGGGAGGGGAGGAGAGAGAGACGAGACAGAAACATCAATTGGTTGCCCCGTGTGGCTGCTACTTCAGGGAAAGGTAAAAAGAGAACCTGTATTCCTTCTTACAACTGTGGTGCATCTACAATGATCTCAAAACACAAAGTTCCATTTAAAGTATCAGCTGTGTAGCCCCGGGTCGGTGTGGGTCAGTGGTTGAGCGTTGACCTATATAACAGGAGAACAGTAATCGATTCTCGGACACGTGCTCAGTGCCGTCATGTTTGGGCATCCCACAGCAGGCCTGCAATTTCCAATTCCGACTTGGTGATTC